CAGGAGAAGGGGACCGGCCGAGCAGCACGCCGCAGAGACTCGCAGTCTTGGCGCGGTGCGCCCTGGCCCCGGCCCCGAGCGCAAGCACAACTCCAGAGCCTTTGTCTGGCTCAGCGCTCCGGCCGCCCGGTCCCGCGGCGCCCCCTGCGCGCCCTGCTCTCTCTGTCCATGCCCGGGGGGCCCCCCGCGCTGCCTAGAGCGCGCGCCTCCCTCCGGTGACTCGGCTCGCCGCCGCGCCCAACCCGGCCTGGATCCCCAGGCAGTCCCCGGAGGCACGCAGGGAACCGGCCAGAGAGAGCGACGAGCCCGCCAGCCAGCTAGCCAGCGCCCCGCGTCCCCCGCGAGTTTGGCTCCGCAGCCCTACTCCCAGTGCGCGGCGGGAGCCGCGCCGCTCTTAAAGGGCCAGTGTGCTCCCTGTGCGCAAACCTAGGCGGAGGCTGGGGGCGGTTCCTAACCCGAGGCTTCGTAGTAGCAGGTGCCGGCTGTGTTGCTCAGGCACGTGGGTGACCCTTCTCATCTCTCCTGATGCCAACCAAACTCCCTAGCCTGCTTTGCTCCCGTCTCTGCTTCTGGGGAGCAGGGGTGACCCCCATAACTTGACTCTATTCTGAGGCAGGGCCAAGGACATTCAGATAGAGGGGGGCCAGAAAAGGACTAGGGTAAGGACGTGAAGTCCTGTCTTTAAACTTTAAAACATGACAATAAAACTCCGAAACAAAGAAGTTGGAGGGGCAGGTAAGATGGCTTAGTGGATAAAGGCTCTGGCCACCATCAAGTTTGTCAAGTGTGGCAACAGGAGTTCGAGCCCCAGGACTCACTTGGTGGACCCATAGAACCCGTGGCACACGTGTGAGCACACACACATGTAATTTTAAAAACAAGCCCCGGAGTGTCTTAGGCTCTTTATTAAATTTCTAAGACGCCAAGTCAGGGGTTAGGGCGCAACCGAGAGTTCAGGCTTACAGGGCGAGGGAATCGGCATCCCCATTCCTCTGCTGCGTGAGTGAGTATGAGAAAATTACTAGATCTTTCTGAGTCTCCATGTTAGGGTGAGGGTTCTGGCTCCTAGTGTGCACCCATTTTGTTTCCAAGAAAAACCACTCCACTTGGTCTCTGTTATGTGAAAGTCAGTGTGTCGATGAGGTTCATCAGAACGCTGGGTGGAAAGGCAAACCTTCCCGGGAAGTTTGGGGTAGACTTTTAACTTTTACTCCGGTGTGGACACTAAGAGGGTCGAGGGCCCACGGAAACTTCGTCCAACCCAAGGTCAGCCCTAGTGTAGTGAACTGGAGCGACTGGAATGCCGCTTGACCACAGGAACCAGGGTGGAGGGCAGCAGACCTCATCACCTCCCTACAGACAAACAGGAGCTTACCTCCCCCAGGGTAGGTCATTCCTAGACTAGGCTCTCCGGGTGCCCCAGCTCCTCTCATCTCCCAGAAACAGGAGACCTGGCAAAGCACCTTAGAAAGGGCTAGTTCGAACCCACCCACCGGGCGAAGGAAGATAAAACGTGCCCGGTGCCTGACTTAACAGCTCATGAAATGAAATTGGGGTTTGGAGAAAAAAAATAGAGGTAGTCTCTCTCCTTTCCACTGATGAACCTCCCTGAGGGGTCCCTCATCTGGGAAACTGGCTTTCAAATTCTCTAATTTGAAATTTGATTTTGAGAAATGTCCAGTGTCTGACACACAGCAGCCCATTTAAGTCAGGTGTACTGCAATTGTTTGCAAATTTATTCCTGACCATTTTTTAAAAACTGAAGTTTATAAGGTTACCTAATAATAAGTAAAATCTCGATGGGTAAACATAAATAAATAAATAAAATCTCAGGTATGTAGGCAAGGTTTGAGAGACTGTGGTCAGTCGGGTCTGGCGTTTTCTTCCATTGCCAGTGTTCTGGTGGGCACTTCTGGCTCAAGGAAATGGTTTCTTATGTGAGGAGTCCTACAGAAAACTCTGAATTCGAAGCCAGGTCTCTGGATTCCTGCTCAGTCTACTTTACTGGAATTGGGAACATTCGTCTATTTAGGTTTACCTTCTTACTTGTAGGAGGGTTCAGATCCAGCTAACGGCTGAATAAGTGGGTTCTCTTCCTCAGTGAAGTTGCTGTGGGCTAGAAATAGGCCTGAGATGATGATACTCGGGTTACCTAGTTAGAAGGGTTCCCCAGGCAGCGTCCACTATCAAAGGTGAGGCTGAAGCTGAGGGAAAACCTGGTTAACTCTGCAGCTCCACTTGCTAGTCATTGCCCGATTCTCCCTACCAGTTTCAGAAGTATGCAGCTACGTGCTTCACTCCCATTAGCTTTGCTGTGAGTGACCCCTCTGATGAGAGGTCATGGGAGAACAGGTTGCCTGCTGGCCTTTTAGTGCTTGGAGGCAGCTCAAAAGGGCTGGAATGGGCAGGAGAGATGGCTCAGTGGTTAAGAACATTTGCCTATCTTTCAGAGGATGCAAGTTTGGCTCCCAGTACTCACATCAGGTAGGGCAGAACCATCCGCCTATGACTCTAACTCTGAGGGAACCTGGCCTCCTTTTCTGGCCTCAGTAGGCACCCACACATACATGTATACACACACACACACACACCATCTCTGGTAGGGCTTGAAAGTGCAGAACTGTTATGCCTCTTTCCCTTACCTCCAATCACTTTCTCCACGCCTCAGACCGCCCTGTTTCTTTGCCCCGTGAACATCACTAAAGCCTGTGGTTGGGAAGGCTGACTTGAAGCTCTCCCCCCCTCCTCACATCTGGCCACTTACCACTTCAGTGATTGCTACTGTGCCAGGCTGGCAAAACAGAACCCTTTCGGTAATAGGACAGCCTTTTGGACTCTGGGTACCAAGAGAAGGTATAAACAAACACACCAAGTACTTCCCCTCTCTCTTGGAAACAAAGCTGTGGAGGTCTAAAGAGGCAATGGAGAAGGTCTTGGTACCAGGTGGAAACCAGCCAGTGAGGCCTGGAGATGAGCCTTTCCCTGCGCTGCAGGGGAACATCTGAGGATGCCAGTGCCAGATGTGTTGATCCTGTACTCTCCCAAGCATGACAAAATCCTCGTCAAGAGCAATCCTTCCCTGCACACTGCCCACCTAGCGGTGGACGAGCCTGTTCTGGTCTTCCATCTCCAGCTGTCTCTCTGGTTTCTAGAACACTTCTCTTTTGGAAGGAAGCGCCCGGGCTGCTTCTGCACTGTCAGCGGAGTGCTTGCTGAAGGCACTCACTCCACTCTGGAAGCACACTGCATGTCTGGGTGCCCGCCAAGCAAAGGCTGCCAGCTTACATGCCCATCCCCCGGCCCCAGCTCAGGCTTCCTTCCTCCGTTGCCACCTCCGTTCTCTATTCAAGAGTTGCTTATTGATCTTGGCCTGTTTCTCTAAGTGGCTGCACTTTTAACTGCTCTCAGCACAGACAACCTGCAGAGCCACATCATCTCCCGGGAGGGGGGGGGGGGCAGCCCTCAGTGGTTTGGACAAGTACAAGGTTAGGGATGGGCATTCTAATCGGCACACCTTGCCTGCTTTCCCTTTACACTCAGAGGGCCAGACCTGGATTGGTCAATCCAAGGGTGCAATTCAGGACCTGGAACAGAGCAGGTGTCAGGAATGTGACTTGTGAAGCTAGGGTTACCGTGTTGCCTGCAGGCTAGAAAACATGCCTAGCTTCTTCTCCATTGTGGCTTCTGATGGCACTAACACCAGGCAGCAGGTCAGGTGAAGCCAGGATGCTGGTGTGGTGGCACTGGAGAACAAGGCATGATTGTGTTCTCTAAGGCTAGGGAAAGGCAGGGTTGTGAGGGCATGAATCACAGAGTGGGAGCCAGAGCCATAGGCCTGAGCAGGAGGCAAGTGTAGGGATGGCCGAGGCTGCATCACGTGGGAGCTGAGGCCAGGGTTGAGTCAGGCCCTAAACAAGTCCTCATGTCCCCAGGCAAGTCATGTCACTGGTCTTCCATAGCCATCACCTCTACCCAGTTTGCCTTCCTCAGGCTCGGCTGTAGGGAGGCATAGCTGAGAAGACCCTAGAAGAGCCTTAATCTCTGTGTTGGAGGAGTGGAGGTGGCGATTCCTTGGGACATGCCAACCCCTGGGATTCCATGTATTACATGCAGTGTCACTTCATGAAGTCCTGGAAGACAGGGTAACCCCACCTTCTTTCCTTTTTTGTGTGGAGGGGGGATGTTTGTGTATGTGTGCGCAGAGGTAGGCAGGCATGGGTGTATGGGTGTGCACACAGGTGTAAGCCAGAGATCAATCCTGGGTGTCTGTTGTTCCTCAGGAACCATCCACCTGGTTTTCTGAGACCGAGTCTCCCATTGGCTTAGAGCTTGACAAAAAGGTGGGGCTGGCTGGCGAGTGAGCTCAGGGATCTTTTGGTCTCTGCTTCCCCAGTGCAGAGATTACACTGTTTGGTGCCACAGCATCTTTTTAAAGTGGGTTCTGAGGATTGAACTCGGGTCCTTATGCCCACAAAGCAAGAACATGACTGACTGAGCTAGCTCTCCAGCTCCACTTTTTACTTTCTTTTTTTTAATTAAAATCCTATGAGCATGGGTGTTTTGCCTGCATGTATGTGCACCACCTACATCCCTGGTGCCTGGGGAGCCAGGACTGCAGTCACAGAGGCTATGAGCTGCCACGTGTGTGGAATCAAATCTATGCCCTCTGGAAGAGCAGCCACCTCTCCAGCGTCCCCAAGCCAACATTTTCTTTTGAGTCACAGTTACAACAGAGGGGCGCTGAGATGGCTCACTGGCTGGAAATACTGTTTGAGAACAGACAACCATGGACCCCACAAAGGGTCAGGAAAGAACCGACTCCTGAGAGCTGTTCTCAGAACTCATGCGCCTGCACACACACATATACACTAAGATAAATAAATACATAAAAGTCCTGAAAGTTCTAACAGCCTCCCAGAGCCCCCTGCACTGTGAAGCTAGCTGGAGGGGAGGCAGAGGCATCGCTCACCCTCAAAATAGGAGTCGTTTAAAACAAGACACCACATTAAAAAAGCAGATTTTATTTGTTGAACATAATTTAAAACTGTAAAAAACCCTTTCTTCGCCCATCACTAGAAATCCCCATGACAACTGGAGAGGTTCTTTGGTTCTTTGCCCTGATAAGAGCTTGGTGGAAAATAAAATCTCCTGTGCCTCTCTGACCCTCGCCACCTCCCACGACACCCCCACCCCTGAAGAATGCTCAGCCACAGGGGTAGGAGTATTTTGCCTGGAGGAAAGGTGCCTCTGTGCTTCTTTGGGAAAGCTGATGGGGGAAACTAGGGGTCACAGGTGTTGGAGGCCTGGCCGGCAGCCAGAGCCAGGCCAAAATGAAACATCTGCTGGGCTCTCCCCAGGCACCTGGCTGGGTAAGTGGGAGGAAGGAATGGGAAAACTGCTGCTGACCACAAATTAGCACCTTGTGCCCTGGCCCTGAAATGACCTCTTCTGGCACTGGATGGATGAAGGGAAAAAGTGATAAATAAAGGAGATTCAAAGGAGGGTGAGACTCACTGGAGCCCCCAGTTTGACAGAGGTGAGTCAGGGCACAATGATTTTAAAAACTGGTATGATGGCCAATGGCATCAAGATCACTACAGTGGAGAGACCTCAGTGGGGACCCCACTGAGTGTGGGTGAGCTCCCCAGCAGGGCTCATTTCTTTTCCTAGGCTAACAGAAGAATCAGAGGTCCGGGCTGCCCTCTACTGGTGATTTCTGGAAATGACCACACCACAGCAGCAACCTATCAACCTACCACCCAAAAGGACCAGGAGAGAGGAGCCCCTTAGAACAGTGCTAAGTGTGTGATTATCACACTTCTTGCTGGGGCATCCCCCAGACGGCAGCAGGCTCCTCCATCTCAGTTGGTCTGTAGAGAGGCATGGGACAAGGTTCACTTCAAAGGCACTGAGAAGAATTTGTTCCCAGACTTGCAGCGGACCTGCTCAGCCAGCACACGCAACAGCATCTCGGAGTCTTCAAACTCATCCACGATTTCCTTCAGCCAGCAGCAGGGAGATGACAGCCATGTTAAGGGAAATCAGACCCAGAGGCACCACAAACACTACCAGTCCGGTAAACTGGGCAATACTGAAAGGGACCTAGGTCATGCAGACTCCAGGCTCTGCAATCATTATCTTGTCCAATCACCTTATAATCATGTGAGGTAGGGCCCATCACCTCAGCTTACAGAGGAGGACCCACACAGTGCACTGGGGCAGTGACTACCATGAAGTTTGGTTTAGTTTGGGACTGGGCTCTCCTGGAGCTAAGACATCACAGCTCTTTGCATCCTTCCACATGATCAGGCCGAGGGGAAGGTGCCCACAGAGATGATGGCCCGTGGCCTGCACAGAGTTTGACTTGCAAAGTACTTTTAAAAAATCCAAATGAGGCACTTGGGAGGCAGAAGCAGGTGGATTGCTTAAAGTTTGAGGACAGAATGGTCTACAAAAAGAGATCATGTCTTGAAAAAACAAACCAAAAAAATTAATAATACATGAGTAAATAAAATCCAAGTCAGTTGCCAACACTGGAAAATCAGAAGATTTTCCATAAAAATCTGCACATGAAAATATGGATTTCTGGCTTTGACTGAGAAAAACAGGGCCGTGCTGCTGCCTGCCTTCAGGCCCTGCCAGGCACTGGGCACTGCGAGTTCTTCCAGGGCACTGACAGGAAGGTCACCTATCAAAAGGCAGCCAGGCACGGTGGCACATGCCTGCAGTCTCGGAATCTGAGCTAGAAGGGCACTGCAAGTTTGAGACTTGCCTGCTCTACAGTGAGTTCCAGGCCAAAAAGGAGACGTTGTGAGAACCCGACTCAAAAGTAAAACCCAGGATGTAACAGGCTCTGGGGGCTGGAGGTTCCTGGGACCTGGCATCCTTCCTCCATTTACAACTGCCAGACCCAAACCTCTGACCTCAGATAAATGGCTGGGGCCGAGGGGGCGGGGGCGGGGGGCTGACTCTCATCACATGTCAGGTGTAAAGCCGGACACCCAAAGCCCTAGAGATTTTGTTGCAGTGCAGTTCTGCTGCCCGGAGTCTTGGGGGGGGGGGGGGGCAGAGCACCTGCAGAGCTGCTTAGCTCCCAGATGTCGCTGCTGCTGGCTCAGGGGTGACATCTGAGCAGGAAGTGGGGGCTGAGGTCTCCTGCAGATTTAGGTTTCAGTAGCCAGTCTTCCCTTTCTGTCAGGTGCTCCTCCCTCATCTTTGGAGCTCGGTGCTCTGTGTCCCTTCCCTGGAAATTTACCTGTAGTTCCCGCAGACACTGTCCCTCCAGCTGGAGACGTGCGTCACCCACACACCAGGCCAGACTGACATGAAATGAAGGGTCCTGGGGGGAAACAGGGAATCAGGCCATCACTGGATGCCATGGCAGGCCCATCCATCCTAGCAGCTCTAAGACAGCCGGTCAGGTCTCCCTGTGGGATCCCTGGTGTGCCCGTAGTGCTGAAGCCATGTCCCCTGCCCACACAGACAAAATGGCTTGGTCCCCACTACAGACTGAATTGTACTCCTCCCCAAAATGCAAATAGTGAAACCCCCAATGTGATGGTATTTGAGGCAGTTAGGGTTAATGAGGGCACAGGTGGTGCCCTTGGAAAAACAGATGTGGATGGGCAATGGCTCAGAGGTTAGGAACACTGGCAGCTTTTCCAGAGGACAAAGGTTTGATGCCCAGCACCCACTTGATGGTTAACAAGCCTCTGTAAGGAGTGTCTGAAACATTAGTTCCAGGGGATCTGACGCCCTCTTATGGCCTCCAAGGGCACTGCATGCACATGGTACGCAGCCATACAGGTAGGCAAAACATCCATAAGCACAAAAATAATGAAAAATTAAAGAGATGGGTAGAGAGCTGTGTGCTCCTTTCCCTCCATGAGGGAAGGGCACAGTGAGGGATGCCTCTTACAAGCCACATCCCTTATCAGAAACCAATCATACAGGCAGGCACCTTAATCTTGAAACTTCCAGCTTCCAGGGTTAAAGGCATGCACTACCATGTCCAGTTCTGTTTTGTAGAATAACATTTTGAGGTGTGCTACTTTTGTTTATGTTGCCATTTGTTTAACTCTGTGAAGCTGTGTTGTTTTGCCTGTCTAAAACACCTCATGGTCTACTAAAGAACTGAATGGCCAATAGCAAGGCAGGAGAAAGGATGGGCGGGGCTGGCAGGCCGAGAGGATAAACAGGAGGAATCCAGGAGGAAGAGAGAGAAGCAGCCGCCAGAGAAGGAGGAGGACTCCAGGGCCAGCCCCCCAGCTACACTGCAAGCCACGGGGTAAGATTTACAGAAGTAAGAGAACGAGGAAAAGCCCAGAGACAAAAGGTAAATGGGATAATTTAAGTTAAGGAAAGCTGGCAAGAAACAAGCCAAGCTAAGGCCGGGTGTTTATAATTAAGAACAAGCCTCTGTGTGTGATTCATTTGGGAGCTGAATCGGGCTCCCAAAAGAGCAAAAACAAATGACAACAGTTCTCATTCTATTTTCTGATCTAGGACAATCCAGCAGAGGCCATACTTTTCAGATTAAATGAACAAACCCAAAAATGTCAACAATTTTGAAGAAACAATAATTATCTCTATTCAAAAATAACTGCACACATGGCATGGTTTTGAAAACACATTGAATAAACCAATGGCCTTTTAAAGCTGTGACACTCAAGCTGGACTCTGAGTCCTCAGAAGGATAGAGGGGAGGTACAGCAAGGATATGAAGCTACAACTCTTCCAGAGGGTCAGTTTGCTAAGCGTTGAGACAGCTACTTAGGAAAAACAAAGCACACATGGATACCTTACAGAGTAGAAAGCACAAATCTAACATGCACAAACAGCTTTCTGATGTTGGACTTGGGGTAGACTACAACTTCTGACACCCCCAGACCCCAGTCCTGTGGGCTGGCAATCAGGGCTCCACATGGGGAGGTTCTGGAGGTCTCTTTAGCTTGCCTCTGATGGGGCTTCTCTGAGGATGCTCTTTCTAGACAGGGCAACGGAGCAGCAGCTCTGTGGCAGAAACAGTGATCTCTGTTCATTTTCCTCAACCATGTGCATTACCTGGTAGAAGGTAGTGAGGTCAAATTCCTGCATGACTCTGTCCACCGCTGAAACCATGTCCAGGAACTGGGCATGCCCGGAACTGACCTCAAGCCCAATGAAGGTCCTAGGAAGAGGCAGTGGAGACAGTAGGGGTACAAAATGCAGCCTATGAGAGCGCAAACCACAGAAGTAGAAGTAGGAGGCATCCAACAGGAAGTCCAGGGATTTGGGTTGTGGTTCAGCCCATCTTCCTGTGCATGCCCCTGCTGCTCCAGGAACCAATTCTTTCAACCCCCGCCCCCCCCCCCCCCCCCCCACTTCCCGCACCTAAAAACCCACCTTCACTGGATGTCCCCTCATGTCTAAGAGTCCCTGCAGGGGAGCCTTCATCTATCACTGCAGACCGCGCCCTCTTGCCCCTCCACTCTCTGGCAGACTCCTGCACTCATCACCCTCTCTGAGCCCTGCTCTCTGGTACCCACTGTCCCCCGGCAGGTGCTGAGAACTGCTGTCTTTAGGAATTAAATCCCCCTGAACCGCATCTTCAGCCAGCCCCATCCCATTCTCAAGGAAACACTGCAGATCACCACCACGGTGGTCTGCTATCCTCCTCTGTACTGTCTGGCCTCCCACTTCCAACCCTCCTCCCTCAGAAATGCTCTTGTCCAAGTGGCCAATGATTATAATGATCTCTGTGTTATCAACGGCACGAATCCTGTCCTCGCTAGCTTGGCAATATCTGACACTTGTTGACTCCCCACTCCTGGAAACCCTTATATAGCCTAGGATGAAGGGAGGAGGGAGCCCTTTCGGAGCAGCTGAGAGGAGTGTCCCTGTGAATGGACTGGACAAGGAGGCCCTGCAGAGAAAATGCCCTTTTTGGGGGCGGGGGCGGGGTTGTTGTTGTTTTGAGACAGGGTTTCTCTGTGTAGCCCTGGCTGTCCCAGAACTCGCTCTGTAGACCAGGCTGGCCTCGAACTCAGAGGTCTGCCTGGCTCTGCCTCCAGAGTGCTGGGATTAAAGGCTTGTGCCGCCACCACCGCCCAGCTGGGTTTTATTTATTTTTAAAAAATAAAAATTTTTCTTAATTTTGGGAATAGATGCCCCACAAATATATGTGGAAAAGGAAGTATATCCCCTCTATCTTTGCAATAAAGTCAGGGACCCACCTGGTTTTCTCTTGGTTGGTATAAATCTTTACCTGGTTGGCAGTAAAGAAGAACCTGAAATTTAAAAGAAGAAAGATACTTCAAGAAAAAAAAGAAAGTAAAATAGTACTTTTTTTTTTTTTTTAAAGGTTTTTCGAGACAGGGTTTCTCTGTGTAGCTTTGGAGCCTGTCCTGGAACTCACTCTGTAGATCAGGCTGGCCTCAAACTCACAGAGATCCGCCTCCCTCTGCCTCCGGAGTGCTGGAATTAAAGGCGTGCGCCACCACCGCCCGGCTAGTTCATGTTTTAAAAACCAGCATTTTCAGCTGAGAGGGGTGATGGATGTCTACAGTCTATGCTCAGGAGGCCAAGACAGAAGATCTCAATTTGTAGTAAGAGTCTATCTCAAAAAACAAACAAGCAACATCAATCCCTCTAAATACCTCCCCCAAACAGCACTTTAAAAATATAATTAACTGATTTTACAATCAATATTGTTATTCCATGATTTAAGTTGAAGCTACCGATTTTACTGACCAATAGCTTCACCTGTGTGCTGTGTAGCGTGTCGTGCACCTGAGAAAGTCATTCGTCGTGTGGGTGGAAAGTTAGTTGATATGACCCTGTGATGTAGGCCCTACAATTATAGACACGAAAATGGACCTGGTGAGGCTGAATGTGGCAAGGCAGGAGTTGAGGCTCAGTCCATTTGATCGCAAAGCCCTTGCTCTCACCTAAAAAGTGAGTCTCTGTTGAAGTGGGTCTGGTGGTAGAAAGTAGGGCAGAAACCCCGCTCACTCAGCACCTGGATTGTTACACAGGGTCCAGAGTTAGAGCTGAACTATCCAGGTCTGGCCATCTCAACTCAAGAAACTGAGGGCTTGCAGCTGGTTTAGCTTAACTAAGGACACAGGGCAGCCCATGGAGCAAGGACAACATCAAATCCGTTTCCTCAAAGACACCAACCCAGCGGTACAGGGGCTGCTCTCTAGTCCTCAAGTGAGCAGGGCAGCAGGCTACACACGTCCCACAGAGAATGATACCTCCTGCAGTGACTCCTGGGCAGTTTCCAGAGGTCCCAGCAAGGTGCACACTTTGTTAAAGAACTAGTACCCACTAGGAGGCTGAGGGAGTGGCTTCCCACCAGACCTTGGGAATTCTGCACTGGCTTCTCACCTTGCCTGCAGTCCACCTGTCAGCCTTGTTACCATGACAGTGCTGCCAATCACTGAGCTTGAATGCTAGTTTGTCCAGGAAACAGAGCTCCAGTAAGATAAGGGCAGCATTCTCTAGAATAAGGGGAAAGGGCATTTCCACTCTTTACTTACAAAGGGGACGTATGAACAGAGTCAGACTAACCAAAGTCATTGCCATGACTTCTGCTGAAACTAATATATACAGGAAGGATTAGAGTTCTGATACCAGGACCCAACTAACAAGTTGAGTATCCTGTGTACACCTGTAACCCCAGCTATAAACTGGACAGAGATAGAGGATCGCTGGGGCTTGCAGACTTCCAAGCCTAGCCAGGAAAACACAAGCTCCAGGTTTGGGAAAGGCCCTGTCTCAAAGGAATAGGCAGAGAATGACAGACGACGACGACAGCTGATGTGTTCTTTCGGCCTCCACATGCACAGAGGCAGACTGACACACACATGCATGAACACGCCTTGTTCATACACCCATGCACACACACACTTTACACTTTATTTTTCTTATTTGTTTGTGTATGTCTGTGCACCACGTGTACAGAGTGCCTATGGGGGGCCAGAAGAAGCCATCAGAGCCTGTGGAACTAGAGTTACAGACAGTTTGAGCTGCCAATTGGAGCTGGGGACTGAATCCAGATCCTCTACGAGAACAGCCAGTGCTCTTACTGCTAAAGCATCATGTCTCAGGCCTAATAAACACATTTCAAAGGAGCCTGCAGGGTGGAGGAGATAGCGCAATGGGTTAGTAGCCGGACAGATGTGAGGACGTGAATTCAAAACTCTGGACCCCACGTGAAAGCTGGGCACAGTAGTGTGAGCATTGATGGGACAGAGATGGGAGAATCCCAGATGCTCATGCACTAGCTGGTCTGAGACACACAGCAGAAAAACAATAAAGAGATCCTATGGCAAGCAATGTGGAAGGTAAGGACCAACACCTGACTTCTACATGCATGCTGGGGAATGTACACACCTGTCCTCACATATAAGAAGATGCATACACACGTACTGGTGGCTCCCTTGTCATTGAGAGAAGGAAGTCAACCTCGTGGGACAGAGCTGAGACAGCACAACTCGGGTAACATCTCTGGCTACCTCCATCTCTGCATGCATGAAACTAGGGCTGTCTCTGAACCCATCTGTAATTCCCTTTGGGTGAAGCCAATTTAGGTTGGGTTCTGGCACCTGTGATACAGCTGGTAATACACAGCTGGCTTAATAAATCTGATAGTGGCAAACACAGTGGACCAGAATGAGATGCGCTTCATCCTGGGTTTCTCACCAGCTGACCACAATGGAGCAAATTCTTTCCTCCTCAACCGAAGGGGGAGCTTTTCCATTTGGAAGAGCCACACTCCAGAGTTCCTGAGCCTCAGGCCCCCTAAACAGTGGAGTTGGGGATTCACTATAAGACTTCTATTTCCACCCATTTCAGGCCTTCAGAGGGGTGTCTATGAAGGAAGACTCTGCAGACAGAGCTGGAGAGATGGCTCAGAGGGTAAGAGCATTGACTGCTTCAGCAGAGGACTGGGGTTCAGTTCTCAGCACCCACACAGAGGCTCACAGCCTTCCATATATCTGATGCCCTCTTCTGACCTCCACCAGCAAAGCACACACATACACGCAGGCAAAACACTCATACAGGGGCTGGAGAGATGGCTTAGCGGTTAAGAACACTGGCTGCTCTTCCAGAGGACCCAGGTTCAATTCCCAGCAACCACATGGCAGCTCACAACTGTCTGTAACTCCAGTTCCAGAGCATCTGGCACCCTCACACAGATATACATGCAGACCAATGCACATAAAATAAATAAATTATAAAAAAAACTCATACAGCAAAATAAAAAGTATTTAAAAAAAAATCAGGGCAGTGGTGGTGCACGCCAGCATTCAGGAGGCAGAGGCAGGTGGATCTCTGAGTTCGAGGCCAGCCCAGTCTACAGAGTGAGTTACAGGACAGGCTCCAAAGCTACACAGAGAAACCCTGTCTTGAAAAACCGGGGGGGGGGGGGGGGGGGGGGGAGACTAAGATTAAATTAGATTCAGAAATCCACTAACAAGCTAGTTTTGTTATTGAACCAGCCCTCGGAGGACCCAGAGAAGCCCCAGAAAGGACCTCTTCACTCCTGCCCAGTCCTGAGCAAGCACCTACTGAAGCAGTGGAGAGCAAAGTCCCCGGAGAAGGCCATGAGCATTCAGAGAGAAGCCACAGTCCCAGGCAGAGGGGCTCTGGCTCCAGAAGAGAGGAGGGCATGAGGACATGTGAGGGTGAATGCGATGAATCCTTGGACCATCAACAGCAGCAGGATCAGGTGACTCCTGACTCTAAGGGATCCTGAGAACAACTGGAGGAGACCTGGACAAAGGGCAGGCAAGGATTTCAGTAGCAGTGTAACTAGGTAAGTGCAGAAATGGAGTGGGCCAGGTAAGTGGAGAAAGCTGGAGTGGGCCAGCTGCAACCTTTCCAAACCCTGCCCTATGGGTCTCTTCTGTCACTCTTCATTTATATCTTTTAAAACATCCTTTGTTTTAAACAAAAAAATAAAGGCGGGGGGGGGGGGGGCTGGAGAGATGGCTCAGAGGTTAAGAGCACTGGCTGCTTTTCCAGAGGTCCTGAATTCAATTCCCAGCAACTACATGGTGGCTCTCAACCATCTGTAATGAGATCTGGTGCCCTCTTGTGGCACGCAGAGATATCTGCAGGCAGAATCTTAAAAAAAAAAAAAAAAAAAAAAAAAAGAACAATAAATAAATACCCTTCCGTAAGGGACACAGTGCTTCTGTAGCATCTCCACCTCTCTCTCTCTCTCCTTTGTAGGTCCGTGTGTGGTGGCTTATGCCTAGCCCAGTACTCAGGCAGCTGAGGCAGGATTGCTATAAATCCAAGGCCAGCCTGGCCCAGGGTGCCTGCCTGCCTCAATCAATCAATAAATCAAATTCTGTGTGACAAGTTGGAAATCTAGGCAGTGAGCTGTGTTCCTGAATTTTGTGAGTCCTTCTAGCAAATGGTCACTAGGAGGCAGCAGGGCTGGATCGTTGGAAGCTCTGGTCTGTAACAAAATCAGAATTCTTGGCTAACCTAGGGACTCAATGTGAGCTGCATCTACTGTGGAGGGCAGCCTGTGGGACGAAGCCCTTAGCCTGTGAGGCTGCACTCGGGGACGTTGGCGTCGGAACTGAACGGAACTGTAGGCTATCCAGTCAGTATCTGGAGGGTTGCAGAGTGTTGGTGTGGGAAGAGCTCTTACATATTTGGCAACAGAAGTGCTGGAAATCCTAGAGTGAGTTTAGAGGCAGACAGCGGGGTCTCTGTGCACAACCCAGAGGAAGAGCAGTCGAGCAGCTTCTGTGAGGTGCCTGCACCACACGGGACGGGCCACAGCAGCCTCGGGTCTTTAGGTCTGCTCTGCTAGCTTGGCACCATTCCTAGCTCCAAGCACACCAAAGCCCAGGAGGGGAGAGGCACGGACAGAAGAGGGGAGTGCTCACCTTTGGAAAGAGGCCATGCGGTCTTTGAGCCCCTGCACGAAGGGGAGGATCCAGTGGTGACGGAGAACCACGCTCTGAGACAGGCTGAGGTGGAACTCCTCCATCCGCACCAACCGGGGCACGAATGTCTGAGCTCGGGGCAGCAACATGTCAAGCAGCTCCAGGAACTCTTCCTTCGCTTCATCTAGAGAGAGTAGGGAGAGTGGACTGGCCTCAGCCAAGCTGTCACAGGTGAATAACAAGCTGGGAGAGCAGAGAAGCCCTTATTAGCCTAGTTTCAGGAGTCTCCTATGGCTGACAGCCTACCAATATTTTAATGTGAATGTCTTCAGATAAATTTACTATGATATGTGTGGTATGTGTGTATGATATGTATGGGCACACACATGATAGTACTTCCCAAGGTCCCTCTAAGTGACACATTCAGACCACTGTATTGTTTATTAGTTATGAGGATTAATAAGACCAACTTTATTAAACTTAAAAATGTCTGTTCTATAAAAGACACTGCCAGGAGGGGGGAAAAGCCCCAGACTGAGAAATACCTAATAGGGAATCCAGAAAAATATAGAACCTCTAGGTAAGAAAACTAGATTAAGGGAGGTGTTCACCATCCCAGCTCAGGCAGGTGGATTTTAGTGAGTCTGAGGTCAGCCTGGTCTACATAGTGAGTTCCAGGCTGTGGGGGCCCACAGAGGCTCCCTAGTAAGGCCTTACTAAAGGTCAGATAATCTGAGCTTGCTTGACCCAACAGGGCTGCATAATAGGATGATTTGGCCAGGGGTGTGGTTACTGGGTGTTTTGAAGGGTCTACACTTGGCTGTACGTTGTGCTTTGATCTTGAAACGGGGAGGTCTTTTGCTTCTCTCCTTGCTGATGTATAAAAAGCCCATTAGAATAAAACTCGAGGCAACTGGGTATTGACCCAGGGCCCTCTCAAAGCTATCCCATGTCTCTGTCTTTCTCGTCATCTCCATCTATATTTCTATCTACTACTTCCTCATTCCTCTCTCTTCCCTCCAAGAACCCTTCAACAGGTTGGAGCTAGTCTCCTACACCAGGCCACCAAGGATACACAGTGAGACCCTGTCTCAAAAAAGAAAAAGAAAGGAAGGAAGGAAGGAAGGAAGGAAGGAAGGAAGGAAGGAAGGAAGGAAGGAAGGAAAAGTTCATTAAAATATAGGCCCCAAATCCTAATATACAACTTGCCAAGGAAGATGGACAGATAGCAAAAAGCATATGAAAGATGCTCCATATCAGTCAACAAGGGGAAAGACTAGTCTGCACTGCAGAGTAATGGCAGTGCCATGTGCTGACAAGGGCACTCTCATTCATTGCTGTTGGAAATGTAAAATGATACAGCCATTGTGGGGGACAATTTGGGTTTCTTGAAAAATTAAACATACTGTTACCATACAGTCCTAAAATCCATCAGTCACACTCCGTATCATTTTACACAAAGGAGCCACTGAAACACGACCACACAAAAGTCTATAGCACAATGCACATATTTTATTATTACCTTATTTTTTTGAGACAGAGTCTCACTACATAGCTCTGGCTGGCTTGAACTCAAAGAGATCCACTTGCTTCTACCCCTGAGTGCTGAGATTAAAGTCATGTGCTGCCACACTGGGCCAGCCTAAAGCATCTTTATGCATATCTGCCCAAATTTAGGAACAACCAATATGCCCTTTAGTAGGTGAACGTACTGTGGTAGAGCCAGACAATGCAATATTAGTGAGCACTAAAAAGAAATGAACTGTCAAGTGTGACGAGGCACAGAGGAACCTCAAATGCACGCTACTAAGCCAAAGAAGCCGATCTGAAAGGGCTATATATACTAAATGATCCCAATTCTGTGACATTTTGGAGAAGGCAAATTTGTGAAACAGGTGTTGGTGGAGGGAGGGGATGGCTAAGTCGAGCATGACGGATTCGTATAGCAGTGATACTACTCTACATGATAGTGTAGATGCACATCTTGTTAAGTTTGTGTAAACTCATAGCATGCACAACACCAAGATTTATCCATAATACAAACCGTGAAGTCTGCTGATTATAATATGGGCTCAAGCCAGGTGGTGGTGGCCCACACCTTTAATTCCAGCTCTGGGGAGGCAGAGGCAGGCAGATCTCTGAGTTCTAGGGTAGCCAGGACTACACAGAGAGACCTTGTCTCAAAAAAACCAAAAAGAAGTGGGTTCATCTGCTGTGAGAAATGTAGCACTGACGGTGGATGCTGATAATGGGCGTCTACATACAATTAGAGCCGTCACTTTGTGGACTGTACTAAATTGACACATGTAGATGTAACCAACGGTCTTATCAAATAAGAAACACAGAGCCAATTCAGAGAAGAAAACCAAGAGGTCAGAGCTAAGAGCCTCACCCTTCCTGATTCAGGGATCCTCTCCAGCCAAGAGAGCTCTCCGAAAAGGGACCTACTTTCTGTGTGTGTATGTCTTTATAGTCTTTCTGTTCTGTCTTCTCATTGGTTGTAAACCCAAACATGTGACTGCCTTGTCACTGTCTGTATGTACCGCCCTCCAGGTCCTTAAAGGCGTGCGCCACCGCCGCCACGCACTTGCTATGGCTCCAATAGCTCTGACCCCCAGACAACTTTATTTATTAACATACAATTAAAATCACATTTTAGTACAAGTAAAATACCACCACAGACACAGATTATCTGAATTAACCTTCTGAAGAGATAGATATCACCCCACTTTAGAGGTGTAGAAACGGAGACCCTGAGAAGGCTAGTAACTTCCAGAACACTCAGTGGAGCGAGGTCTGATTCAGCCTGTCACCTCCTCAGGGCTGGGGTGGGATGGGTCCAGGATACAGGGGCCCTGGTTTCTTCCTCCTAGGCACAGCTAGGAGGTACTTGTTTTGGGCCATCTGCCATTAGTAAGTGACTCACACGGTATGTAGATGTGGGTGGCCCAGTTGCCCCGCTCATGGGGAAAGGTCCGAATGCGTCCCCCATGTTTTGTGCTGTCATCCTCAGGCCCCTCCTCGGTGCTAGAGAACATGCTGAGCACACTGTCAGGCACTGGAAACCTCTGAGTGGGAAGGGGCTTCTGGCCACTGCAAAAGAAGAATGAACAAGCATTGTTTCCCTTTGCACATACAACAAAAGTTCTAAGTAAGCCCTTATGCACAGTGACTCTTTCTACATAGGCTGCCCTCAAACTTGATCCTCCTACCTCAGCCACAGAGGCTGAGTATGGATCTCCAGGCAGGTGTTTGAGCTTCTAGACAGCCACAGCTCTCTAGAACTATTGAAGTCTCCCAGCTACTCTGGGAGCCCCTCAGCGGGGCTCTTGATCCCTATAGGAAACACTTGAGCAGATAGCTGTGTGGCGTGGAAATCCTTATTACCTAGCAGGACAGGCCTGAATTGAAGTAGCTCTGTGATCTTGTACATTAATTTCCTTGTGTGTAAAGCATATTTCTATTTGCTAGAGCTCTTGCGCAATGAACTGCCGACATACCGCACTCAGCAAAGGCCGGTATTTAAGAACCTAGGGCCCTTGAAGTATAAGATTCCCACGGGTTTTGCGCCAGTCCGGAGTGTCCAGTCTCCAGTATGGCTCCCAGTGGCCGTTCACTGAGCATTTACTAGACGAATGAAAAGCTTTGGTTATTATTGCACTGTGTTCAAATGAAGAGACAGATCTTGGAAGAAACATGTTTGCACACCAAAGGAGAAAAATGCAACGGCTAGGGCTTGTCTTGAACCCGTGTCCTCGCTCTCAACCTTGCCTTAGCCAAGGGGGTAGGAGGGTGCCATTTTGGGGCTTTGTCCAGGGTGTGCTCTGAATCCTCCTTTCCCTCGACGTCCCTTCTTTTCCTCCCGGGGCACCGACCCACCCTCCCGGTTATCCCGGAGGCTCGGGTCCCACCAGGGTTTCAAAAAGAATCGCGCCCTCGCGATAGAAACTTCCTCGCTCCTCACCCACGGCGGACCCCAGACCTGGGCTTGCTCCGCCCCGCGGCGGCGGCGGCGGCGGCGGCGGCGGCGGCGGCCTCGGCTTCATCCTCCGAGCCGCTGCTGCTGTAGCCCACCAGGGGCGCCGCGCTCATGGGGCCTTGACCACAGGCGGAATCCGCGGGGAACCCAGGCCGGCGCACCGAGTTCCGCTGAGCCGGAAGTGCTCTCTGGGGCGGGACCTAGAGTAGCTCCACCTCGGGGCGGGGCCTTGCGGCGGAGGGGGCGGAGCCCAGAGGACTACCGCAAACTGCGCCCGCCGGCTACGCGGTAAGTGCTGCAGGAGCCTGCTGGAACGCTCGGTCGTCCTAGTGCCCCAGTGCGGGTCCGCTTGTCAGACCTGCACCAAGTCAGAGCCCCAGGATCTCAGGGTCACTCCTGAGAGAGCTGAGCTGCACGTCAGCTGCAGAAGACCGGAGGGGCGGGTGGGGCGGGCTGTCGCCAGCAGGGACAGGGCTGCAACTGGATCCGGGCGTCTCAGCTCTGCAGGTTTCCGTGATCGGATCCCGAGGCTCCAGCCCCGCCCCTCCGTACCCACAGGCTCGGGCCCGAGGGCCCGCGGGTCCCCGGCAGGGGGCGGCCTCGCACCGTGCCGCCGGCTCCTCCGCAGCCGCCGCCCGGGCCGCGGCTCCTCCCCCGGCCCCGCCTCCCCTGCCTCGCGCCGCCCGCCAGTCCGCCGGTCTCTGCAGGATCGTCGGTCTGTCCGCTCGCTCGTCCCTCCGCTGCCCGGGTCCCGCTAGCCCGAGTGCGCGAGTCGATTCGTCGGTTCCGGCCGTCGCAAACCCGTCTCTCGCCCCTGGGCTGCCCGCCTCTGCTACGCGAGGCCGGGGATTGGCGGGGCGCGTAGGCCGCGCCGCCGCGGATGGAGCCGGAATAAAGAGGCAGCTGAGAAAGCAGCTGGTCTCCGCTCGCCCCGCGCCTGACCCCACGGGCGGCCTGGAGCAGGTGAGCTGCAGGGCATCCGGGGCTGCATCTGGGGGCCACTCCAGTGCCCACTGCACCTCGGCAGAGCCTCCTGAGCTCTGGGGCGGCCCAGGCTAGGCCTGGAAGCACAGTCGCTTCCCGGGCACGGTTTAAGGCTCTGGGGCCTTCCTCGGCCCGAGCCACCCCTTTCTCAGGCCTTTCCCGGGCCGCTGCGGCTGGGCCATCCAGAGCAAGAGCTGACAGGAGGCAGCCCAGCTGGGCCTGATGGGAGGTGACCAGCTTTCATTCAGTTACCCGGAGAAGAAGGACTGGGGTGGGGCGCAGGTGGGGGTTTCTCCTTGCCTTCCCTCCCCTCCCCTACTCTCTCCTGCCCTTTGCGGAGTGATCTGAAAGTGTTCCTGGCTTCACCTTTCTGGAGAAGGGTCAGAGTAGGCAGTGGGGTTGCTCCGGGAGGTGGGGAGTGGGGGTCGCCGCTGGGGCTGACAGCCATTCATACCCCCCCCAAAAAAAATAATAATAACAATAACAACAACAACAACACACAGTTGGATTGGTACAGTTAGACCAGACAGCGTTCAGAGCAGTCCACCTCTTATTTCTACCTTAGGAACGCTAGAATGACCTGCTGTAGCTGCTTGTTCATACTTCTTGGTACTATACCAACGCAGCAGCGCCTTTATTCCTTCCTTTCCCAGGAGATGCTGAGGATGACAACTTTTAGCTTGATTCTTTTGTTTCTTCAGCGGAACAGTTAGAAGCCAGACTGGCTTGTGGGGTCAATCTCTACCTTCTTCCTCTTAGAGAGAAAACTTACAGACTTTTCAATCTTAAGTGGCAGATGAGCCGAGAACCTGGAAAGGTTGCCTTTAGTTCCAAAAGTTCCTCCTTCTCTTTATGCTGCCTCAGAGTGGTGAATTAGAGATTTGCTGGGGTTGGGTGGGCTTTATCTTCCATTGATTACTGTGAGTGTTTTGGACCTGGAGGAGAAACACCCTGTGGCGAGCTTTATCATGTATAACTCAGGCAAACAGGACACTTTCTTACATCGTGTTCCTCTGGGAGATGATTAGAATAGAGAAGTTCAGCTTGAAGGATCTCCACGCTGGGTGGAAGATTTCCACGCCGGGTAGAGGATTCCCGGGCCGGGCAGAGGGTGGGGGGTCCACGCCGTGTGGGTCTATGAACCTCTCATTTAACCCTGCTTGCCAGTAGTTGAGGGCCCTGCAAGGCCATTCATCCTATTATAACTAGAGATACATGTGCCCAGGGAAAGGCCTGGAGTGCAGGTGAAGAGGATCATGGACCAGTCCCTTGAAGGAGAGGGTTTTTAGGTAGTCCTTAATACTGATGTCTTTAATATTAGCTCCCAGAGTCCGTTTGCCTTAGGACTGGTGCCTTGGGGGTGTGGCTTCCCTCTGCTAGCCAGCTTCTCTGGTCTCTAAGTAGTGGTGTCCTCATGTTAATGTGAAAGGGGCTGGCAGGCCTTTGGGACAGGCCACCCCAGACCCTGTGAGACACCTGACTGAATAAGGCCATATGGAAACTAGAGGGGATTTGTGGAGGCTGAGATGCCCTGCTCGAGAATGGGAAATTGAAGAAAATGGCCATGGGAATAGCTCCCTTCCCCTCTGCATGGAGGAGTGGAGCTGCTACCAGACTTCTTGGATACTATGTGAAGGGGGTAGGTTTGCAGCCTTGAGCATCTCCCCCCCCAAGGTAGCTTATGTCCATGCAGTGAGTGTAGGCGGCAGCACAGGAAAAGGGAAGGGAAGGGCCACTTGTTCCTACCTCAAGTTCACTGTGTCTCTCTTCCCTACAGAGCCGATTACTGGGGAAGGCAGAGCCTTCTTGGCATTGCTGGGACCCTGTCTCGAAGAGCCCCTGTCCTGTAAACACTGCCTTGTAGCTCTCTTCTTGGCTAATGACAAGGGCTATCTGACCAGTCTGCTCTGTGCCTTGTGTGAGGTTCTTGTCCGCCCCTGAGATCCGGTAGCTTCTCTCTCAGGGTTGGGTTCACCTTAAGCGGGAAACTGAAGCCATTACTGTCCAAACCCAGTTTCATCTTCCCAAGCATGTCGGAAAGCTGGCAGCAGCCGCCACAGGCGCAGCCACAACAGCCGCAGGCACCACAGCCTCAGCACCATGCAGAGCCACCACCGGCCCTGGCTGAACACTCGCTGCCCCCAGGAACAGCTGAGAACCCACTGGGCTGTGCTGTCTATGGCATACTTCTGCAACCTGACCCAGGCCTGCAGCCCCCACAGCATGCACCTCTGCCAGCAGGGGAGCCAGGCCCCAAATGTGGTGTGTGTGGCCATGACCTGGCACACCTCGCCAGCCCACACGAGCACCAGTGCCTGGCAGGCCATGACCGCTCATTCCAGTGCACACAGTGTCTCAAGATATTCCATCAGGCCACCGACCTGCTGGAACACCAGTGTGTGCAGGCTGAGCAGAAGCCTTTTGTCTGCGGTGTCTGCAAAATGGGCTTCTCCCTGCTCACCTCACTGGCCCAGCACCACAGCTCCCACACTGGCATGGTGAAGTGCTCCATCTGCGATAAGACCTACAAGCCAGCTGAGGGCGCTGAACCAGCCACCACTACTGCCCCGTCGCTGCCCCCAGCACCTCCACCCACTAATGTGGCCCCCGCGGAACAACCCGAAAAGCCCTATAGCTGCCCCATCTGCCAGAAACCCTTCAAGCACCTGTCGGAGCTCTCCCGGCACGAGCGGATCCACACTGGAGAGAAGCCGTACAAGTGCACGCTGTGTGACAAGAGCTTCAGTCAGTCCTCCCACCTGGTGCACCACAAGCGCACACACAGCTCCGAGCGGCCCTACAAGTGTGCTGTCTGCGAGAAAACCTTCAAGCACCGCTCCCACCTGGTGCGCCACATGTACGCACATTCGGGGGAGCACCACCTGTTCCGCTGCAACGTGTGCGAGCTGCATTTCAAAGAGTCCTCCGAGTTGTTGCAGCACCCTTGCACCCCGAGCGGTGAGCGGCCCTTTCGCTGCGGCGAGTGCCAGAAGGCCTTCAAGAGGCCATCGGACCTGCGGCAGCATGAGCGCACCCACAGTGCCGAGCGGCCTTTCAAGTGTGACCTGTGCCCCATGGGCTTCAAGCAGCAGTATGCGCTGATGCGGCACCGGCGCACTCACAAGACGGAAGAACCCTTTAAGTGTGGCCTGTGTGAGAAGGGCTTTGGGCAGCCCAGCCACCTGCTCTACCACCAGCACGTGCACACCCTGGAGACCCTCTTCAAGTGCCCCGTGTGCCAGAAGGGCTTTGACCAGTCTGCTGAGCTGCTGCGGCACAAGTGCCTGCCGAGCTCCACAGAGCGGCCCTTCAAGTGCCCGGTGTGTAACAAGGCCTACAAGCGGGCATCTGCGCTGCAGAAGCACCAGCTGTCTCACTGCGCTGCAGCGGAGAAGCCTCTGCGCTGCACCCTGTGTGAGCGCCGCTTTTTCTCCTCCTCGGAGTTTGTGCAGCACCGCTGTGACCCTGCCCGGGAGAAACCACTCAAATGCCCGGACTGTGAGAAGCGCTTCAAGTACGCTTCCGACCTGCAGCGTCACCGGCGGGTGCACACGGGTGAGAAGCCCTACAAGTGCCCCAACTGCGATAAAGCCTTCAAGCAGCGCGAGCATCTCAACAAGCACCAGGGAGTGCACGCCCGCGAGCAGCAGTTCAAGTGTGTGTGGTGTGGCGAGCGCTTCCTGGATGTGGCGCTGCTCCAGGAGCACAGTGCCCAGCACAGCGCGGCGGCCGCAGCTGCGGAGGGCGCCTACCAGGTGGCGGCCTGCCTGCCCTAAGGCCCGGGGCCACCACCTGCCCTGTCTAGTCTCGCCTGCTTGCAGCTGCATAGCAGCAAGCCTGTCAGCCAGCTCCCTCCTCGGTGAGGACCGAAGGGTCCTGGGCAGGTGGAGGGTGTGCATGTTCAGTACCGGCACCAGCCCGGCCATCGGAGGAGCCAAACTGCTGTGGCCAGACCAGATCCCACTGACCCCTTGCGCACGACAGGACTTGCTTTCTGAGAGTCTGCTGTCCTCCTTACCTGTAAGGAACTTGAATCCCACCTGTAGTCAGGTACCTCTCTGCCCCAGGTATGAGGGATGCCAACCCAGCCTTCCCAAATTGTTCAGCCTAGTTAGAAGCCAGGTGGCTTGGCAAGAAGAAAATAGGGTTTCTCCTCAAATTGTTTTTTTTTTGCGGGGAAAGGCCAGCTTTGTGACAGTTCTGGAGACTTAGAGTGTAGACCGTGAGCTGCAGTCCTCTGACTGCCCAGCTAGAATGAATGTGCCCCAACCCGAGTTTCTGATAGTTAAGCTATGTAGGTAGGATAGGAGTCTTTGGGCAGGGTCTGCTTGGAGATGAGGGGTCCAGTCAGGGTGGGGGAAGCAGGAACATTCCATGACACCCTCAGGTCAGCCCGTGCTGTCGGCAGGGAAAGGGACAAAAGCAGCCTGTGTGCTGAGGGTGATCCCGAGTCTGTGGAAGCCCCCTCCTGGCTGTGAGTAGTTCTAAGCTTCAGGGAAAGTAACGTTCCCTTTGAGCTGCTGTTGTAGGAGGGGAGGGCTGTTAGTCCCCTTTCCCCCCTAGCCTCATGTCGGAGGTGGGGAGGAAGGAGAACTAAACCCATGATTTCCCCAGTAGTTATAAACAGGTCCCTTCTTCCCAAATTGTGTGAACCAAAGTGTCGGGGGCTCAGAGTCGTAGCGTCAGCTTGTCCCAGCCCTGCCTGAGGGCCCAATGGAGTTCTGAGTACCCAGGGTGAGGAATGGCTTCTCACCCCACAGAGCCCTTCTAGCCCATGGATTCCATGAGCCATCAGTCCGGCTGTGGGCTTGGGCCCTAAGGATCTTCTGTTGCCAAAACAACCTGCTCTCCTTTGAGTCCTAGAGTCTTCTTAGGTCTTTGGCTACTCACAGCCTGCCTCCTATGACAAACTTGGGAACACAGGGATAAAGGAGCCTGTGGGCAGCATTCTTAGCAGGTACATGATCAACTACATCACT